TGGGGGGGGAGAGGCGCAATGGCCGTCCCACTGGCCATGACAGTGGCCCCCGGGCTTCCGTGTCACTGTCCAGACCAGGAACTGGACGGGAACCCAGAGCAGCAACGGTCGCCCCGAGTGTGGCTCACACGCTTCCCTGCGGCCGTGCGGCGAGCTCTGTGCTCTGGGCCTCATGCTGTGGACAAGCACGCTGCTCAGTGCGGCGGGAAGGGCTTGGGAGAGACCTGGGGGCCGAGGTGTGCAATCCTTACCTGCCCACACTCTCTTAGTCCAGTACATTCTTTTTGGTCAGAGAACTTTCCTGAGAAGCAGAATCATAGCACGTTTAGAACTTGAGCACATTCTGCAGGAAAACCAGCCTCTAGCGCAGTGGTTCTCAACCTTCTGGCCCTTTAAATACAGTTCCTCATGTGGTGACCCAACCATAACATTATTTTTGTTGCTACTTCATAACTGTCATGTTGCTACTGTTATGAATCATAATATAAATATCTGATATGCTGGATGGTCTTAGGCGACCCCTGTGAAAGGGTCGTTCGACCGCCAAAGGCGTCGCGACCCACAGGTTGAGAACCGCTGCTCTAGCGGGAGCTTGCCCGCCGCCCCAGGGCCCTGTCTCATCCTCATCTGTCCAGTGGGGTGACCGGGACCCCTCCCTCGCAGGGCTGTTGGGAGGAACAAGAGGGAGGGGCTCACAGCGAGGCCCGGGCCTGCCAGTTGCTGTGCACAGATGGTGCAGTTTCTTAACAACAAAGTGTCTGATTAAAAACAAGGGTCCCTGGGCCTTCCCTCTGCCGACTCTGACTGGCCCTCCCCTCCCTGCTGCCCCTCCCCTCCCTGCTGCCCCTCCCCTCCCTGCTGCCCCTCCAGGGCAGCTGCTACTGGCTGTCCCTGGCCCCCAGCACTACTGGGCCCAGGTAGCTGCCCGCCAACTCCTTCAGCTCAGTCTTGCTCCTGGGCCACCTTCCCAGTGACGCCTACCCACACCCTCTCCCACGGAGGCCACTCCCAGTCCTGCTCACGGCTCTCTCCTGACCCACTAACCCCTGTGCAGGGCGGGCACGGATGCCTTCTGTACCATCTGCCCTGCCCGCTGGGATGTAACTTGTGGGGGCCACTTGGAGTCACTGGATGTATCCCGGTGCCCACAGCAGTTTCTGGCAGTAGGTGCCCAGGGAGCCTTCAGGGGGAATAGCGCATTGTATAAAAACCACTCTTCATTCTTGGCCCCACTCTCACAGTCCTAATCTAGTAACAAGACAAGACTGGGATTCCTCTAATGCAGTTTTGCTGGTGATGGTAATGTGATAAGCACGCAGACTAACACATTTTTTGCAGAATACCTCTCAACGTAAATGTCGCACCAAGGCTGCAAAACAGCTTCAGAATCGGTTCTTTTTTTTTTTTAAATAGATTTTTATTGATTTCAGAGAGAAAAGGAGGGAGAGAGAGATAGAAACATCAATGATGAGAGAGAATCATTGATCGGCTGCCTCCTACACGCCCCCTACTGAGGATCAAGCCCGCAATGTTCCCCAACTGGGAATCGAACCTTCCCAGGCCGACGCTCTGTCCCGAGCCAAACTGGCTGGGCCAGAGTGAGTCCTTAATGAATCACCCGATCATCACGAGGATGGTGGTGAAACCCTTGCCTTAGGAGGTGACTGGCTTTCCTGTGGGTGTCTGACCTGCATTCTCTTTCAGGGAGAAGCTGAAGGACCGCAGTGAAGACATCAGGAAGGCGCTGACCAAGCTGGACACGTGCAGCAGCGGCTCGGTGTCCCTGTGCCAGCTGCAGAGGGCGCTGCGGGACAGCGGCTGTCCCCTGAAGGAGGCAGAGCTGGCCGCGCTCCTGGGCAGGTTTGCTCTCACTGGCTGGCCCTTTCCGAGAAACCATTTCTCCTCTGTCCAAGCAGACTCTTGACATGGAAATGACCCCCACATCTCCCTCTGGCCGGGCTGCATTCTAATGGGCTCGAGTCACCCCGAAGCAAAAAGGAAAAGCAGCTTAGATACATAGCGTTTCCTGATGTGTCTCAGCACATCGCACCCTGTTTCAACTTCGTTTTTATCTTACCCACATTCTGCCTGCGCTTTGGCCGGCGCCAGGTAGCTCTATGGGCCACTGTCCTCATGTCCCTCCCCAGGGCCAGCTCCCAACGCTTAAGTGACATCTCTTGGTACTTAACTTCGCGTTTCTGAGTGACGGGTTGTACAGCTACTTCTTGACTTTGTACCGTTAGGCTGTGTCTATTGACTTCCCAGCAGGAAGATGCGGATTTAACTCTTTTTCACCCGTCACCTGCCACCAGCCACCTCTCCCACAGCCTCCACCCCACCCCCATGGAAATACACGCAAACAAGTCTCCACGAGTGTTACTTTTCCCATCTGCTGCTTCTCGGTTTGGGGGAGGCCAGTATCCAGGGTTTATTGTGACGAGCTGATCACGTTTCCTTTTTAATGGAGCATCTTGTTTTTCCTGGAGTTAATCTTATTTTTTCTGTTTCTTTAGTTTCCATGTGGTTATTATCAGTAATTGAACCCCTAACTCACCCCACTTATGAAATCTCTTTCTTTTCGTGGTTGCTCTGTAGTTTGCAATATACACGAACAAGTAGCCTAAGTCCAGTTTCAGCTAACACGATGCCAGCTCATGGGTGGGCAGGTGCCTTATAACGGAGACTTCCAGATCCTTCCTCCTGTCCCTCGTGACCCCGCTGTCCTTCACCTTCATGCCTGTCCACAAGCTGTGACCCCCAGTGCATTGTTACTACTTTGAAAAATCATTGTCAGGTCAACTGAGAGTGAGAAAAGTAAGAGACGTTGTTTTACCTTCGTTTACTCCTTCCCTGGTGCTCTTCCTTTCTCTATGGGGATCTGAGTTTCTAACTTACATGACGTTCCTCTCTCCGAAGGATCTCCGTTAGCATTTCTCGAAGGGCGGGGCAGCTGGTGATGAGTCCTGAGGTTTTTTTGTTTGTTTGTTTGTTTTTTAAATATATTTATTGATTTCAGAGAGGAAGGGAGAGGGAGAGAGAGATAGAAACATCGATGATGAGAGAGAATCATTGATTGGCTGCCTCCTGCATGCCCCTTTCTGGGGATCAAGCCTGCAAGCCAGGCATGTGCCCTTGACCAGAATCGAACCTGGGACCCTTCAGTCCACAGGCCGGGGCTCTATCCACTGAGCCAAACCAGCTAGGGCAGTCCTGAGGTTTTGTTTGCCTGAGATAGTTGTCGTTTTCCTTCATTTCTAGAGGATAATGCCACTGGATATAGAATTCTAGGTTGCTAGTTTTTTTCTTTCAGCACTTTAATTCTGTCAGTTCACTCTTTTCTTGCATGATTTCTGATGAGAAGTACCATGTAATTCTTACTTTTGTTCCTCTGTAGGTAAGGTTTTCCCTCCCTTTGGCTTCTTTCAAGATTTTCTCTTTGTCTGCAGTTCTCTGCAGTTTAAACATGGCATGCCTAGGTGTTGATTTTTTGGTATTTATCCTGCTTGGTGCTCTCTGAACTTTCTGGATCTGTGCTTTGTGTCTGTCATTAATTTTTTTAAATTCTTGGCCATCATTACTTTAGTTGTTCTTTCTGCTCCTTTCTCTTTTTCTCTCCTCCTGGTATTCTAATTATATGGATGTTGTACCTTTTGAAATTGCCCCACAGTTTCATATTCTGTTCTGTTTATTTTAATTTGTTTTTCCCTTCGAATTTCCATTTGGGAAGTTTTTATTAACATACTGTTAAGCTCAGTGATTTTTAGCCTCAATCATGTCCGATCGACTGATGAGCCCATCAAAGGCATTCTTCATTTCTGTTGCCCTGCTTTTTATTTCCAGTATTTCCTTTTTTAAAAAATATATGTTTATTGATTTCAGAGAGGAAGGGAGAGGGAGAGAGAAATAGAAACATCAATGATGAGAGAGAATCATTGATCGGCTGCCTCCTGCCCACCCCACACTGGGGGCGAGCCCACAACCCGGGCATGGGCCCTGACTGGGAATTGAACCCATGACCTGCTGGTTCACAGACTGATGCTCAACCACTGAGCTACGCCAGCTGGGCTCCAACATTTCCTTTTGATGCTTTCTTAGCGTTTCCACCTCTCTGCTCACATTATGCATTTGTTCTTGGGTGTTGTCTGCCTTTTCCATTAGAGCCCTTTATATATTAATCATAGTTAATTTAAGTGTCCTGTCTGGTAATTCCAAAATATGTGTCATGTCTGAATCTGGTTCTCATGCGTTTAGTGTGAGGTTTTATGTTGATTCGGGTAGGAATTGGGCTGTGCTTAATGTTGCTATAGCTGTCCATTTCCTCCAGCATCCTTGTTTTTGTCCCTTACGTTTTTGGGGGTTTCCCTAGGAACTCCTCCTCAAATAGAGTCTATGTTTTGTAGTTCTTCCTATTGAAACCCACTCTTATTAAGTTTGCTTCATGTTTATACTCTGATCTTATTGATAGGTTGTTTGTTTCCTGAAGTTTTTAATTTCCTTTTTGTCTTTCTTGCATTATTTGCCTTTATGTTACCTTGTCAAATATAGACAAATGCCGACTTAGTAAAGAGAGACTTTATTTGAAAAGACTATTGCACTAGGGAGGGAGGACTGTGGTTATGGGGAAGGAAGCCTATTGCACTAGGGAGGGGGGGACTTTGGTTATGGGGAAGGAAGGCTATTGCACTAGGGAGGGAGGACTGTGGTTATAGGGGAAGGAAGGCTATTGCAATAGGGAGGGAGGACTGTGGTTATGGGGAAGGAAGGCTATTGCAATAGGGAGGAGGGACTGTGGTTATGGGGAAGGAAGGCTATTGCAATAGGGAGGAGGGACTGTGGTTATGGGGAAGGAAGGCTATTGCAATAGGGAGGAGGGACTGTGGTTATGGGGAAGGAAGGCTATTGCAATAGGGAGGAGGGACTGTGGTTATGGGGAAGGAAGGCTATTGCAATAGGGAGGAGGGACTGTGGTTATGGGGAAGGAAGGCTATTGCAATAGGGAGGAGGGACTGTGGTTATGGGGAAGGAAGGCTATTGCAATAGGGAGGAGGGACTGTGGTTATGGGGAAGGAAGGCTATTGCAATAGGGAGGAGGGACTGTGGTTATGGGGAAGGAAGGCTATTGCAATAGGGAGGAGGGACTGTGGTTATGGGGAAGGAAGGCTATTGCAATAGGGAGGAGGGACTGTGGTTATGGGGAAGGAAGGCTATTGCAATAGGGAGGAGGGACTGTGGTTATGGGGAAGGAAGGCTATTGCAATAGGGAGGAGGGACTGTGGTTATGGGGAAGGAAGGCTATTGCAATAGGGAGGAGGGACTGTGGTTATGGGGAAGGAAGGCTATTGCAATAGGGAGGAGGGACTGTGGTTATGGGGAAGGAAGGCTATTGCAATAGGGAGGAGGGACTGTGGTTATGGGGAAGGAAGGCTATTGCAATAGGGAGGAGGGACTGTGGTTATGGGGAAGGAAGGCTATTGCAATAGGGAGGAGGGACTGTGGTTATGGGGAAGGAAGGCTATTGCAATAGGGAGGAGGGACTGTGGTTATGGGGAAGGAAGGCTATTGCAATAGGGAGGAGGGACTGTGGTTATGGGGAGTAAGCCATGTCCAAGGACGTCGGGGGAGGGTGACTTCTCTAACCGTCCCTGGTTTCCAGGAGCACAGGCTCAGCCAAGCTCCATGTTGTCCAGCTCCAGCTCCCCAGCACCTGCCCCACTTCCTGTCCCCGGCTCTTCCCTGGTGCTCCATCCCAGCGCCGGGCCCCGCCCCCGGTCCTCGGTCTGCTGCCCAAGAGCCTCCCTGTCTGCCCCCACCATGCTCCTGGGTGGGACCCCCATTCCCAGCTTTTCACCTCTCTTTTCTTAATTACATCCTTATTTTGCTGGAGTACTTCCTGACGTAATTTCCTAAGAAAGGGTGGACAGGAAGTAAATGCTCTGAGTTCTTGTTTATCTGAAAAACTTTAAATTCTTTTTCACACAGATTGATAACTTGAGCATAAAATCCTAGGGAGAAAATTCTTTTCCCTTAAAATTTTGAAGACATTGCTCCATTGTGTTCAAGCTGTGAGGAGTCCCATGCGTGTGTGTGTGTGTGTGTGTGTGTGTGTGTGTGTGTGTGTATGTAAAGAGAGAGAAAGAGAGAGAGAGAGAGAGAGAGAGAGAGAGAGAGAGAGAGAAAACCGATTCATCCTCAAATGCCTGTGTGCTCTCTTCTTCCTGAGATAGGGTCTCCTCTCACTAAATCTGTTTCCAGCTGAACAAGAATTCATATGCATTCAATGAATAAATCATGGAAAAACAGCACGCGATAAATAATTAACTAAATGAGTGAGAGAGTCTTCTAAAGCATGGTGAGTCTTGGTGCATTTATAAACGACAACAAAAGGACCGTGGGATTTTTGCGGTCCACCTTTCAGGGGGGTGATCCCTTCCTTAGGGATTGAAACCTTAATGAGGGCCCATCGCTCGACTGCTTGTTTCTTCTCAAAGACCTCTGATGAGACACAGCTCCGTTATTTGTAATTATATGTAGATTATTCTTTTCTAGATCCAAAATAGATTTTTCTGAATAATACCAAGAAGATTAGCACATGCATTTGATTTTATTACTAAATTTTAATACCAAGTTGGCAGTTTACCCTGCGGATGAAATAGAGCTGATTACCCTCTCCCTGTGTCTCCAGCGTGAGCCAGTGCCGTGGGCCGGCCGGCTGGCTGCTCTGCAGCTGTGGGGCGGAGGCACGGCTCTGGCTCCTGCTCCTCAGAGCAGGTCTCCGAGTCTCTGGGGGCTTCTCCCTCCCTGGGAGCTTCTCCCTCCGCTTGCCAGGAATCCGGGCTCCTCCTTTTTGACACACTCCTTCCTGCTGAAAGAAAGTTTAGGTGTTAACGTGCCAGGAATGCCCAGAGAACTTAAGTGACAGAACTGGGAGCTCTGAATGCAGTTAAACTTTATTTGCATCTTCAGTAAACTTGCGTTATGTTCTTATGGAACCTTCGATCCCCCCCTCCCCGCCCCCCATGTATTCTTTCAGGGTTTAAAGGCGCTTGGGTGTTGGAGCAGAGGCAGGAGGGGCCTGTTTCTACGGGCATGTCCTGCTGACGCGCTTACTCAGGCAGAATTGTTCTTTGAGAAACTACTAAGCTGAATAGGTTTTGTGAACTGTCCTTCCGCTTGGCAGCTCCGTTTCAGCCGTTCTTGTAAAGCAGCGGTTCTCAACCTGTGGGTCGCCTAAGACCATCGGAAAACACATATATAATTACATATTGTTTTTGTGGTTAATCACTATGCTTTAATCATGTTCAATTTGTCACAATGAAATTGGGGGTCACCACAACATGAGGACTGTATTACAGGGTCGCGGCGTTAGGAAGGTGGAGAACCGCTGTTGTAAAGGAGTGAGCGGGTATTTTACTCAGTCCCTCTCTTCCTTTTCGCTGTCCTCGCTGCATTTCTCTTCAGATTCCCCAGCCGCTTCTCAGGGCGGGGTCTCATCAGCTAAGATCTCCAGGACCAACCCCTACCCTCCATCACCCTCCATGTGGCCCCGCCCCCACTCCACAGACCTGCCGCCCGACTACCCAGTAGCACTGCTCTGCCAGCGCCAGCCCTGCCGAGGCACCTCCGTTTGCCCCGGTCAGGACCGGATTCCTTAGTGGGGCCTCTTGCAGCTTCTCTCCAGACTGTGAGCCCTTTGTCAGCCTTCACGCCTCAGAGCCTCAGGCCAGGCCGCCCTGTGGCCTCACCAGCCGGCAGTGGCCCACACGCTCGCCTCTCCCAACCCTGACCCTGCTCCCGGATCTTGCAGGCTCTGTGTGTGCCCGTCTGCCGCCTGGCTGATTGGTATGCAGGTGCGCAGGCACCCACAGGCCGGGGAACGGCGCCTTAACATCCTTCCTGTTCTCCACCCATTCCGTGCTCAGCTAGTGTGTGTTGAATGAATAAGTGATAGGGTTTTTTAATTAATACGTTCTTTTTTTTCTTCCTTGGGGACCAGTTTGGGAATCAGCTGGCAAAACAATTCCATCAATTACCTTGACTTCTTGAGGGCCGTGGAGGACGGCAAACCATCCGGAGCTGAGCCGAAAGAGAGCGAGGCGGGCGTGCCGGTCAATTTTGCGAAACTGAGTCCGGAGGAGGTTCTGAAGAACGTCCAGAAAGTGGTGGCCGCCTCCGGTCCGGCTCTGGCCACGGTACGGCAGACAGAGCTCTCACTGTGGAAACCGACGCTCTGGGACGCCTGTTGATCATGAGAAAGGGCTGCGAGCCCTTCCCTCCTCCGGGACCCCTCCCGCCTCTCCACGCCCCCAGGGTGTCGGGCCTCCGAGGAGTGGCTCAGATCATATTGCTCAGTGAGCAGGTGTCTATCCATACTTGCTCGATACAGAGCTCCCATGCCCTGGCCGGTGGCTCAGTGGGTTGGAGCATCGTCCCGTAACCAAAAGGTCACAGGTTCGATCCCTGGTCCAGGCACATACCTAGGTTGCAGGTTTGATCCCCAGTCAGGGCACGTACGGGAGGCAACTGATGGATGTTTCTCTCTCTCTCTCTGTCTGTCTCTCAGTCTCTCTCTCTCTCTCTCTCTCTCTCTCTCAAAAATCAATGAACGTATCCTCACAGCACTGGGCCTGTGGAGGGGGTGGCGCAGGCGGCTTGCAGAGGTTGGCCAGGGTGGGGCTGTGGCTCAGACTCAGAGTGAAGACTGCCAGGAGCCAGAGAGGGTTTAGGAGGGCCACCGAGTGCCCTGACACTGTAGGCTGGCATCTGTGTGGCACCTAGAGCATGCCAAGACCTGGGGACTGGGTCAGGGTTCTCGGAAAGCAGGGCTTGGGCCATGTTCCCGGGGTGGTCACGGTCCCCTGAACTGGCCCACAGTCTCCCCTGCAGCAGCAGCAACAGCAGAAAGAGAAAATGCTGGCTGCAGAGGGCAGGCTGCGGTCTGAGCCGGGCGTGCAAAGCTGCGTGTGATGCTGGCCACGTCTCACGTGCAGACTCGCCGACCCCCTCAGAACCCAGGCCGGCCCGCTCCATGCCCAGCTCCGCAGAGCGAGCCTGCGGCGGGTGGGGAGAGGGACAGAGGTGGGCCGCCAGCCAGCTTGCAAGCAGTCTGGAATGCCCGCACCTTGGCCTTGATCTTGGACAGCCAGCATTTGTGCATGGAGGAGTTCTCTATGAGGATTTTACACTCGGCCTTTATTTTACTGATTATCTGAAGCTCAGTGGGAGCATGACGCGGGCCACCTAGAAAACCCACCGCAACCTTTCAGCGCCAGAGCTCGCACCAGGGCCGCCCTGCCCGGGGTCTGCACCCGTGTGCACGGGAACCAGGATGTTTCTCAAACCGAGGCCCATGGAACCTTTGGGAGGAACCCTGGCTGTCACCTTTGGGAAACACTCCTCAGGCCATCAGGCCATGAGGTTTTAAGCTGGAGGGTGGGAGTCCCTGGCCTAGAGAGTGGCAGGTGGGCTGCAGAGGGGCAGCCGGAGAGGAAGGAATGACGGCGTCGAAGGACAGCCGTCTGCATACCGGACATGTGCCCGCATTTCCTCACATCACTGCAGGCGTGTGTCAGCTGCATCTTGTTTCTGAAATGACATAGCAACCCCTTATAGCTGTGTCGAGCGTTATGGATTCCCAAGCCCTTCTCCTCATCTGATTCTTCCCCGCATCCCGTGGTCGAGCAGCTGGGCCGACAGGGGAACCACGCAGACCAGGGACGTGCAGGCCCCAGGCCGCCTCAGGTCCTCTGAGGCTCATCCCTCCACAGCTGCCGAGGCCCACCACGTCCCGGGACAGGGGCACGTCCGGGTGCCATGGTCAACTCAGAAGAGCATGAGGTGTGAAGCCCCTCTGTTTCTATGGAAGCAGCTAAGCTCAGAGAGGTTCAGGGCTCCTCGGGGGCAGCAGAGCGAAGGCTCAAAGTCTGCTTCCTGGCCCGCGGCCAGGGGATTCCCCCCACGCACAGCGCCTCGTCCTCCCTCAGGCCGGGTGCAGACCTGGAGCTGGAGCACTGAGGTTAACCACGCACACGGCACAGCCCTGGGCGATGGGGTTGCCTAGGTGGCTCTGGGGGAGGATTAACAGGGCAGGAATTTGGTTTGGAGTCTGCACGCACATTGAAGTCTGACTTCAAAAAAAAAAAGATCTTAACCTACCGCTTGATCCAGACTTCCTAGTGCAGGAGAAGTGAATGATTTTGTTTCGACAGATGGAAAAAAAATGTGCTTTCTTTTTATAGCACATGTTTGCACTTTTCCAGGGTGCCTGCTGGGCCGCTGGGCTGGCACTGTCTCCCGCCGCCCCCCCCCCCCCAGCGGGGGCCCCGGGCAGTGGGGCCCTTCCGGACATGAGGGCACGGGCTTGGGCTGACCGAGGGGAAAGGACAGCAGCTTCTGGCACCAGCCTCAGGCTGGGGGTGACGGACCCCGCCTCCTGGTGCTGGTGACATGAGACTCCTTCCTGAGACCTGCCCGCCGGCGCAGTGGGGCTGCCCGGAGCCTCCTGTTCCTGGTGGTTTACTCTCCAAGCAGCCGGAGGGAATGAGGGAGAGACCTTGGGCCAGTTATGGGGGCCAGGTTCTCTTCGCCTCTTCCAATTCGTGTCCGAATGGAGTGAAGATGGCGCGCCCCCCAGCGAGGCTGGCACGGCGCACGCATCTGCCTGTCTGTCCCTCAGGCTCCAGCACCTGCTGAGTGAGGCAGCATTCAGACGGGCATGCACTTGGCTTCCTTCGCGTTGCACAGGAGCAGCACTAAGGAAAACACCTCTGGAATATTCGCTGGACGTAGCACCTGCCCGTCTTTTTCTCTTGCAGGCGTTTTCTGCCGTGGACAAAGAGGACACGGGGTTCGTGAAGGCTTCGGACTTTGGACAAGTGCTGAAGGATTTCTGTTACAAGCTGACAGATAACCAGTTCCATTACTTCCTGAGGAAACTGCGGCTTCACCTGACGCCCTGCATCGGCTGGAAGTACTTCCTGCAGAGCTTCGGCGGCTTCCTGGAAGAGGTGAGTGCCCGCGGCTCCTGGACCAGGGGCTGGAATGCACTTTTGCAGAACGAGTAACCGATTAAAAGCGCGTCCGGTAAGTCGGCAAGCACCTCGTGCGATTCGCTCGTTCTGAAGGAAGCGTTGGTGTAGAGTCTATAGGAGAAGGTACATGTGTATCTTTTGCTTCATTGGAAAGTTACTATCTTATTTTCAGAGACGTCTGGGAGCTTGCTTTTGTCTGGTTGTTTAGAGTGCTCGGGATTCTTAGGTCCCTGAAGATGATCTGATGTCCAGAGAAGTGAGGCCCCGAGTGGCAGTGAAGGAACTGGGACCCACTCAGGAGGCATTTGTTGAGGACCCACTATGTGCCAGGCCCTCGTAGGCCATGTATCAGGCAATCCTGGGGCAGAGGGAAATGTGGAGATAGTAGGCGTAAACAGATGTAGATCAGCGGGCCCCAAGGGAAGTCAGGGAGGACTTCATGGAGGAGGGGGGGTGGCTGACCACGGGGCTCATATTTCTTCCTGAGGACTGCTGCTTTGGCTGCACAAAATGTATATTTTTAGGTGGTTTCTTGATTTGTAAACATAAATGGGCCATCATTAGAAAGAATTCCAATCTAGTTTTAACCAGCACAGATCTCTGTAGTCACCATTCTGTGCTCAGTGAGCCTGGACACGCGTGAAACATCCAAAAATAATGCAACAGGCTCAACCAGGGTTACACTCAACTGCCCCGGAGCTGGGTGAGCAGGTCATTTCCAACGGTGCGCTTCATACACAGACACCTAAGTTCATAAATCCTCGCTCACTTGTCAGGATAAATTCTTGAAAATGAGCTTCCCGGGGCAAATAGCGCGAAGGTGTTTAAGGTTTGAGGTTCATGATAGTAATAACAGCAGCCAGCCCTGTCAGTGCCTTCAGATGCCACTGTGAGCACTGCTGGGAGCTCCGCTCCCAGAGCTCTCGCTGGAATTGGTGGTGTTTCTCCAGCTGTGAACCTGCTTGTCTCCGGGCATTTGCCTCCCTCCCGCGCCTGAAAGCATTGCTCTGGGCGTTGCTCCCCGCTCACTGAGATGAGAGAGGACTGGCTTCCCTATCCCGGCTCCCGGCCCTCCTCCAGGGCTCCCTGGGGAGGTCTCCTCTGTAGCTGCCTGTCACTCACCCTGATGTCATTGACATTTCCCGTGTCATTGGTTTTTCCCTCCAATGTGGATCTGTTTGATGTATACCTTCCCACTGTGTGGATTCACTCTTCCATCCACCGGTGCTCCTGCGGGCCCACTGTGTGCCAGGCTCGCGCCGCGTGCTGGGTCAGCAGGAAGCACGCTGACGCGCCCCTGCCCACCGGGAGCTTGTATCCCGCCAAGGAAGGAAGCGAAGCAATGAGATCCCAGTGTGTGCCGCGGAGAAGATGTAGCGGGGCAGGAGGAAGACGTGTGAGAGGCAACAGAAGCCGAGACCCAGGGGAGGGAGGGACCCAGTGGTTTCGAGGCTCAGAGCTGGCGCAGGAGGTGCCCGACTGGCGTGAGAAGAGTCGTGGTGTGGCAGCCAAGAGCGGGTGACGCGGGCAGGAGGTGCGGTCAGGGAGGGGGCCGGCGGCCATGTCACTGTGTTCCCAGCAAAGACTGCCCGGGCCTTGCCTCTGAGGCACACACAGAGGGGAGCAGCGTGACCCGACTTACATTTTAGGAAGCCGCTGTGGGAGGTGGATGGAGAGGAGACTGTGGGTCAAGGCCACGGCAGGAGGCGGCCTCACCCCTGCAGTGGGGAAGCTGCTGGCGGTTAATTCCAGACAAGCCGAGACCCAGGGGAGGGAGGGACCCAGTGGTTTCGAGGCTCAGAGCTGGCGCAGGAGGTGCCCGACTGGCGTGAGAAGAGTTGTGGTGAAGCTGCTGGCGGTTAATTCCAGACACATCTGCAAAGTGGACAGACAGGCCTTGCTGCTGGCACATCTGTGCTGAGGGCGGGCGGGGGGAGGGAGAGAGAGAGAGAGAGTCAGGAGAGGCCCCAGGCATTTGGGGTTTGAATCGGGGGAGGCAAGAGGAGAGGAAGGTGCAGGACCCAGTCCCTGGCCTGTGGGCTCCCCGCTCTGTTCCAGTGGGGACAGCGCACCCGTGGGTGCGAGCCCAGGCCTTTACGGGCTCTGTGGGCAGCGCGGGCTTCTTGGGCAGCATGTGCCGAGGTTGGGGGCCGAGCTCCCGCCTCAGTGCGGCGCCTCCCTGGCCTCGGGTCCCCAGGAGCATTTCTGATGCCTCTGGAATGACGGGACCATTTTGAAAGCTTCAGATATTGCCAGCCTGCATCCCTGATGTGGGTTCTCGCTGTTCTCCTTGCTCCGGGAGCTCTTCACTGCACATTCCTGGCGGAGGCATCAGGGCCACTGCAGGTGGAGCCGGTGGGCTGCATGGGGCTGGGACCAGGGAGGCAGGTGGCACTGTGGGGTGGGGGCGGGCACGGCCTCCGCCTGCCTTCCGGGTCTGTGCACAGTCGGGATCAGCCCCGGAAGTGGACTTGGTCTTGGGGTGGGGAGAGCTTGCGGAGAACCAGCGTGCATTTATCAGGGGGACAAGCTGAGCGAGGGGCTGGGCTGGAAGACGGCGTGAAGGTGCGGCGTGAGTCCTGGGTGTGGGCGGCCACGGCAGGTCAGATATGAGGGTCCTGTTGTCTGTCACCTGCTGCTGGGCTGGGGTGGGCGGGGCAGGCCACTGCGGTCCGTGTCCCTTTCTCTGAGCAAAAGCAGAACGGCTGAGCCTCGTGGGCAGGGCCCCGGGCTGGCCTCCTGGGGTGGCCGGAGGGCAAGGATGCTGGGTCATCGTGCTGACTTCTAAGGTCCAGTCCTGGCTGCTGTCCTCAGAGAGGGAAACAGTCACAAAGGACAGGAAGCGCAGACGCATCGCCCTCCAGCTCATCAAGTGTGATGCTGCTCCTTCCCCCGGGGGCGCGCGCGGCAGCTGTTGAAAGGAGATTGCCCAGACGTGAGTCAGGCGGTGGGTGCCTCTCCGGAAGGCGCCGAGTGGGGGCAGCTCAGAGCCGAGCTTCCCAGGCCTGGGGGGAGAAGGCCCCAAGTGCGGATGCGGATGTGACACCGCACAGGGTCCCTCCTCCTCCTGGGCACCGCGAGGTCTGCTCAGCAGCTTCAGATGCTCTTATGCCGCGTGGGCCTGTCCCACGTGACGGCCACGTGATGCCCGAGCTCCCTTCAGAATAGGCACCCGCTATTGTCCGCCCCGGGTGCCCGGCGTATCTGACGTGTGGCTCTGCTGTGGCTTCTCCTCCTGCTCCGTCGCTTTGGGAGGCACCACCGAGGCCCAGCAGCCATTCTCACAGCGGGGGTCCCAGGCCCCCCCAGGGCGGACCCGCTCCACGGGCTCCGTCTGCAGGGCCACGTCCTTCTCAGCGCCGCTCTCGGGTTGGAAATCTAGGCCATCGGCCCACAGGCTGCGAGCTGCAGACAGAGGTGGAGCGAGGACTGTGCCTCCGCCACAGGAGCCATCACGCCCCCTCAGAAAAGAAGGGGGCGCGGCATTCAAACGGAAAGGCCACCTGGTTAATGAGTAAAAAGGAAGAAAAAGGGCCACGTGCTGGACGACGCAGGCGTCCCTCCGCCATCGATTCTCACACCCGGTGCAGTGTCCGCGCCTGTCCCCAAGGGCCTCTCCTCACTCCCGGGCGAGCGGGGTCCTGGGGCCGCGGGCAAGTGCAGAGGGCCGCCTCGTTTTTAGACAGCCCTTCCCGCTTCGCATTCCTTTCAAGCCTTAAAGTGCCACCGCAGTGTCTCCCACGAGGGTAGCAGCGATGCTCAGAGCGGATACAGGACGTGTGAGCGGCATGGCGGAGACCCACACGAAACCGTTTAACAGAACGTCCCCTCGTTCGGCACCGAGCAGCTGCTCAGTGGCCTCCCCGCCGCCGAGAGCCCAGGAGGCTCTTCCTACTGTGCGTGTCACGTGCCGCTTCGAAGCGCCTGTCGGATGTTAAATACCTGGAAGGTGGTGTTTCCAGGAGAGAATTTAAGGTTGTAGTTTCCGGCTGAAGAGGAGGCTGCAAAGCACAGCAACGAGTTTGTGATCTTCTGTGAGCACCACACTGAGGAGTCGCCAGCAGCGTGCCCTCGATTTGCCTTCCTGTTGGTGTGAAAGTCACGCTGTCCGTGTATGTTTCATGGACGTGTTGAAGGATGAGGGGTTCTCTTCAGGAAGTGCCGTGAGATTCCTGGAGAGTCAGGAAGATGATCAAGCCGTGTCGTCACTGCTACTTACTCTTGCTCCTGATGGCGCAGTCCCCCCCGTAGACTTCCGGGGATTTTCAAATGTTTCCCCTGAATTCCACCCGCTTTCCACTTGCAAGGACACGTGTCCTGCCTGTCATCCTGGAGACCATTGGAGAGGGGACAGGTTGCAGGACCATGCAGGCTGGGCGCGGGGCTGCCGGGCCGCTGTGCGTCAGCGAAGGCGATGGGCTGTCGACCACGGCCTCTCTGTGTCCCGTGGCAGCCCGAGGGCCAGGCCCACCTGACGCGCCCAGGACTCTCCTTCCCGGCCTTTGAGTTCACGAGCTGCTGCCCTGCGGGTGCAGAGCACAGGGACCTTGGCACCGACAGGTGCCCGCGTCCTCTCAGCATCGGCGTCCACGAGGGTCCTAGCGCCACCCTGATGTTTGCACTAATACAGACGGTCAACTTGAAGCTACCCTTGGTGAGAAAGCAACAGAATGAGCAGGAGGTGGCACAACCTGCTAAAGCCACCTGACTACCACTTACCGGGATGTGAAAGCAAATCTGGATCGGTTCCAGCTCCTCCGCCCCTGCACGCTGGGCCCACCTGCCCTGGAGCCACCTCTGGAGAACAGTGGGGGTTCCCCCTCCAGGCTCCGTGGTGTGGACATTCGCGGCGGGCGCCTGCTGCTCTGAGCTGCCAGACGGGACTCTGCCAGGAGCAGCACGGGATCAGCCACCGGAAGCTTGGCCCGCTTTCCGCTCCTCCTGCAGAAACGTGCCGGGGCCCCCAGGCTGGCTGC